GTATTTTTGAAAAACCTTCCTAGTTTCTAAAAAATTATCTGGGATTTTCTTGACTGTACAACTGGAAGGACACAGCTGTTTAAAAGAGGCAGAAAAAGTCCAGCTGCGATATGCATTGACTCATTTGGGTTCCTGTGACAGAAAATGCAAGTGGTAAATATTATTGCGATTGGCAATAATAAAAATGGAATAATAGATCTGTTCCCTAAATCCTTCACATATCTTAGGTTGTCTCACCTGCCTAAAGGTACTGTAGAGCCATCTGACAAAATGTGCCTTTTGAGTAGAGTAGCGCATAGAAACTTTTCTTTTCCATCTCTTTCTTCCCAGCTCTGTGTGTACTTATCCCCAATATCTGTCCTCTGTTATGTAACATCCTTACTTATGGGACAAAAAGGATATGCTAGCTTGCTTATTGTGCACACACAACGCTATACGATACACATGCATACATACATATATTGTGGTATTCCTGCTACCATCCTGGATAAAAAAACACCAAATAAGACAATTTTGACGTTTTGAGTGCACTGCAGTGGGGCCAAACTCTGGACAAAGATCTAAATTTCTTTGCGGTAATACCATGTTATCTCTTTGTCCAGAGATCCTCACCAGACACTGTATATCACAAGGCCAAGTCTGCAAAAGAAAATTGACTGGTCTTCAGAGGTATTGGAAATGGCTGGCTGAAATGTAGTAGTGTCATCCTTTCTTCTTAATTAAACAAGGCTAGAGGCAGTCATTTCAAATCATTCTGAGAACTACTCTGTAAAGTTTTTTTTAAAACATCTGAGCTCTTCGTACAAGCAATAGAGAATGCTAGCTGCTGCCTACTAAAACAAGGTTAAGGAGCCTGTTCTTCTCCAGATGATGTTGGATTACTACTTCCCATCATTTATCTTCAGTAGCCATTGTGGCTTGGACTGGTAGATGCTGGAGAATGGTAAGAGAACTCATTGACTTACATTCTCAGCTATCATCCTAGAGATATCAAGGCCTTTCTGTGGAGTAGAGAGAAGTTAGTTTTGATCATCAGTTTCCATGGTACATTTCATATCTGTTTGTGGAGGAGCACATCTCACGAAAGGTTATTTGGTTATTTGGTTACTCAAATTATAGCACAGTTAGACAAAAGAAATACAACCTTAGGCATCTGAACCCAGCCTCTGATACACAGATACACTTATTGCCACTTACTGAAACATTGTTTTCAATAAATTCACATTTTTGAAGTATCTCTTGAATTATTTTAAAATACCTATGCATTTCCCTACTCCTCCTTATTTTTCATTCTCTGTCCTTCACCTGGTTTTTATGATTGGAATAATACTCAAATTAAATATCAGGCTAACATGGAAATTCATGACTTACACATGAGAGAAGGCAAAGCCTTATAACTAGATGTTCATGAGCATCTTAAAAGGCTGTGTTTGGGTCAGGAGTTTCTGCAGGTTATGCTAAAAAAAGTCAAGATGGCAGCCACAATGGTGCGATCAAAGCTCTGCATCATTTTTATGGGCAACCCCGGTAGATACCCGTGGCTCAGGAAATGGAAACTCTACACCAACTAAAATGCAATTCTAAAAGAAGCATTAGTAAGGAAAAAAGCAGTATTGCAAAAGACCTACTGGCTTGCTTTGCTTTCTCTGCATAGCTGGTAGTCAGATCTTCATCAACCGGGTGCTCCACAGGACCTATCATGGGGATAAGGTGCCGCTCTGCTCGAATGGTCCTAGTTGCATGTGGTAGGAGCATGGCTTCAAGGGACGCCTCCGTCTCTTCAAATAAGTATGGTTGTAGCAAAATTTCACTCTCTGAGACAGGCGCGTCGATGTGGTTTTCTGTCTGGCACACAATCTCCCTCTTAGCTACTCCACCAAGGCTTTCTCCTTCTCCACCTCGTGCCACCACTTCAGGAGTGCTGTCATAGCCACTCTGCTCGGAGACTTCATCATGTGGCTCACCCACTTTATTATTTGGTCCCCCTGGGGGGGAACGAGGACTCTTCTTGCGAGCTCTTCGATGCTTTTCTTGGGCAATGTTGTCAGCATCGCTGTCTGTCTCAGCATAGTAGGCTTCACTGTCTGGGGGGGAGGTCACGTTCTCCAAGGGCTGCTGCCGCTGGGGCTGCTCAGCTTCTAGGGCACTTTGGGGTCCTCCCATTTCGGGACTGTGTCCCTTGGAGGCTCGGCTTAGTGGGGAAGTAAGAGAGGCAGCTTGCAATTGTTTAGGAGAAGGGGAGCGCAGTAACCTTACACCAGACAGGTCCCTGGTAGTTGCCCTGGGGAGACCAGAAAAGAAAGAGGATTTTAATCAGTTACATGTGTTGCAAGACCCACTTCCAATCCATTGCTTTATTGTACCTTTTTGTTCTGCTGGCCACTGGGATGAAAGTGTAAGGATTGCCTTTTTTGACATTCCACCTTGGACACAACCTAGTGTTGGTTAGACTGCCTTCTTCAAGTTGCCATCATTCCCAGATCCTGCTTCGTGAATCCCTGGCCCTCTGCTGTTCATCTTGATCAATTACTTGGATGAGGAGGTGGAGTGTGGTGATAAAAGGTAACCTCCTATTCACATGTGAGCTGCATTCACTACCAAACCTATGAGATGCACACACACACACATCCCATACATGTGAGCTGCTTAAAGTGTCCTTGTAAGAAAACGCTCACAGCAAGCTGAATTGACCATGAGTGGGGACAGTGGGAAGGATCAGTCAGGGACCTGTGACCTAGTAAACCAAACTGTGTATATTCACTGACCATCTCTCAAAGATAGTATAGTTAGCATACTATACTATCTTCCTACTATACTAAGTAGGAAGGGATAAATAATAAGATCACCCAGATGAGTTTATCTAACACATTCCAACATCGTAATTTACATTGTGGCTGCCTTTTCCTTTGTCTTGTTTGGAAATGTAGTTGGCCAAAGATATATACTGTAAACTGGTTCTGCTTTTGCTCAGGGCTGCTCAGCAAGGTGCTAATGCTTTGATGGGAGCTTGGTGTATGCTGTAGTTGTTTGCATGTTTAATAAATGTATGTTGTTTCTTCAAAGTGATTTGGTTGATTTAGGGTGAGCCACTTTAAAAATTTGCAAGGTATACAAAGGGGTGGCTAATTCTTAGATGAAAGTGAGAAGATTCAGAAATATCTAGACAGGCCTGAGCAATCCACTGAAATGAGTAGGATGGAGTACAGCAGAGAGAAATGTAAAGTTCTGCATCCAGGTGGGAAAAATGTAAGGCTTAAGTATAGGATGGGGGAGACCTGGCTTAGCAGTAATACATGTGAATGGGATGGGTGTCCAAGTCTCCACAAGTTAAGCATCAGAGTGAGGCAACTGCTAAAAAAAACCCCCCAAATTTTATCTTGGGATGCATTAACAGGAGCATAAAAGGAAGTAGATCACAGGAAATAATTGTTCCACTCTATTCTGCCCTAGTGAGGCACCATTTGGAGGACTATGTTCAATTCTGGACACCATAGTTCAAACAGGACAGTGACAAGTTTAGAAGATGGCTATTAAAATAGTAAAGTGTCTGGAAACCAAGACCTATGACAAACAGTTAAGGGATCCAGTTATGTTTAGCCTACTGAAGAGATGACTGAGGGCAGGTCATTTGAAGAATCTGCCCCTTCAGAAGATCTGAAGGCTGTCACACAGAAGAGAGAGTGGATTTATTCTCAATTGCCCCACAGGGCAGACCAAGGAGGTTCAAACTAGATGCCACAAGGGACTTCCTGGCTGTACAAGCTGTCAGCCAGTGGAATAAGCTGCCATAGGAAGTGCCAAGTTCTTCAAACAGAGGCTGGATACAACATATGTCAGGGATGTTCTAGTGCAATCTGCAGTGAACAGGGAGTTGGGCTAGGTGATCTCTATAGTGGCTTCAAATTCTATGATTCTATGATCATAGAGTTTGATCCCAGGTATATATCAGGCATATTATAATATTTTGGAATATTAATCATACCCATCTCACATTGTGTCCAATCTATTTCATTCATCCACGTCTCTTTAATTTTTTGTTATCTGTTACCACTATCACACAGAATCAACCAGATTTTTAAAAGGGAATAAGAATAGTTGCCCCATTAACAACCTTGCACTGATACTATTCTTTCTTTCATTAATTATGCGGCAAAGTAATCCTGCAATATCATCCTAAAAACTCACCTATAGAAGAAAAAGATGAGTAATATTTAATCATTACAGGGTTTTTCTGTTATCATGTACATTTTATTTACATTTTCACCATTTTTATATTTTCATTCTTTGAGAATTAAGTTGTGTTGTTATTGTTTAGTCGTTAAGTCGTGTCCGACTCTTCGTGACCCCATGAACCATATTGTGCCAGG